ACCCTAACCCTAACCCTAACCCTAACCCTAACCCTAACCCTAACCCTAACCCTAACCCTAACCCTAACCCTAACCCTAACCCTAGCACTTTTTATATAAGGAGAGCACTTTTTATATAGGGGAAGCACTTTTTATATAGGGGAATTGCTTTAATATAGGGGAAGTACTTTTTATATAGGGGAATTATTTTAGTATAGAAAGTACTTTTTATATAGGGAGAGTACTTTTTATATAGGGGAAGCACTTTTTATATAGGGGAATTACTTTGATATAGTAGGCACTTTTTATATAGGGGAAGTACTTTTTAGTAGTATACCTATATAAAGAGGAAGGGTATTTTTTATATATAAAAAGCACTTTTTATATAAGGAAAGCACTTTTTATATAAGGAAAGCACTTTTTATATAATACACCTTTCTTATAGAAAAACGGTCCGTATAAAGCTCCGATACGACCAATAAAAAACTGTGCTAGGAGCACAAGTGGTTTAGAACCGAAGAATCGTATATGCTAGGATTAATGCTCTAAGAGCAAGCGCACTCAGAGGCGTTGGTCTCGGTGCCTCCGCAATTGCCTTGCTTGCCTTGTCGTTTACACTAGTACGCGTCAATGCTGGCACTAGTGTTGGACCTGATTTGGAAACCCACCGCCGCGGCGCACCCGCCTTCGAAACCCTCCTTCCATTCCCATATATCGCATCCGTACCGTAAATCGTATTCGAGGTTCGACATGGCTGCGTCCTTTATGCAAAGCTCATTCACGAAGGACGCGTTGCAAGTGACGAGGGCCGCGGCCCAGACTAAATAGCTATAAAGCATTTGAAAAAATAATAAAAACCGGCCAGTGTTCGAGTATCACGTTGAGTTGGCAGTTGCACAGTCTTTAAGCTTTAATAAATACTTACAACGGTCTTTATGATTGTCGATCGTTACTATATATATAATATACGGTAATATATAAGGCCGTAAAGTGGATTTGTCGGCGAAGCAGTATGGCGGTGTACGTCTGCTGCCTAATAGTACTTGTTTACGTTAAGCCGATTAATATCAAGTTCTATAGGGGGGCTATGTCCCACTTCTTCTAGCTAATGACATAATAGTTAAGTTTCCGACTAATAAAGGAAGCAGTTAATTCTAGCTAATATAGCGGCTACTACTACTAATACCGTAGCTAGCAGCTAGATTTATTATAGCTAGTGTTACGCTTTATATACAATAAAATGATAATAATAATATTAAGATCTCTCTTTCAAGATTTCACTATACTTTTACAATAAGATCTTTAAAAATAGTTACCTTAAAAATTTATAAGAAAACCTCGGGAAATCTCTATAATATATAAGAACCTCTTATCAAGAACTCTTAATGAAATCTTACGAGATTTACTATAAGGTCTCTTACTATAACGATAGAGAAATTATAATAGAATCTTGCTAGTATTTTAAGAAAATTAAAATAGCTAGCTAATTATAATAAGGTATATTAATAAGAATCAAGGCTATAGTAATAAATAACAGTGTCGTAATTATAAATAGCTTTTTAAAACTATATTTATAAATTATAAAGTAGGGGAAGTATTATAACTTAATATATATAACGAGGTTAGGGCCCTGCCTTATAAGACCTATAGCGGCTATTATATTATATATATATAATTTTAAATTTAAAATAACTCCGCTTAAATTAAGAGAACTATAAATAAATTATATAATAATAGAGAAATTAATAGATAATAGATAATCTATAAATAAAATTAATAAAATAAAGGCGGTCCGCCTTTATAAAACTGATATTATAATATTAATTTGAATTATAAAAGAAATATTTAAATAATATATAGAATTAAATTTAAACCGGGTTAAAAAAAAAGACTTTTTATAGCTTTGTTAATAATTAATTTAATATTAAATTTTATAGTCATTTTTAATTATTTTTATTAAAACCCCTTTTTAATTAAACTATAATTAATTATTTAAGCTTTATTTATTTTATAATTTATAAATATAGCTTTAAAAAAGCTATTTATAATTACGATACATTATTATTTAATATTATAGCCTTAACTTTTAAAAATATATTTACTATACTAGCTAGTTACCTATAATATATTATTAACATTTATATTTTATTTATTAAAATGTATAGTTAGTTAGTAAATAATATAAAATAAAGCTTATATTTAAAATTAAAATATATATATAAGATAAACTTAAGCTAGGCTTAAAGATAGACGTTTTATAGTTTCTTTAATTATTAATTTATATTAGATTTTATAATTATCTTTAATTATTTTTATTAAGAACTTTTTAATAAAATAATTATTAATTATTAAAACTTTATTTTATAATTTAAAAATATAACTTTTTTCAAAAGTTATTTAACGACCTTTTTTATTATTACTTAATTCTTATAGCCTAAACTTTTTCAAACTTACTTTATTATAACTAGTTAGCCGTAATAGGAAGCCGGCTATAAGGTAGCCTTACTTTATAAAATAATAGCTTAGTTAATTATAGCGCTAAGCGCTAAACTTGCCCTATAATAGTCTCGGTATCTATTATTTTAAAATAAGCGATTCTCTAGTAAATATTATCTATTACGAGGCCGTTATAAGACCTCGGCTTTATCTATACTCCCTATTAGGACCACTGTATATTTATATTGCTATTTTATGTAGTGGACAAAGGGTCTTTTAGTCCTCCGTCTCCTTGCGCTTGTATAATCGGTCAATATACTTCTTCATATTTTACTGGTCTACTTGATAAGTTGGTCCACTTGCATCGTAACCGCCCCCCGGATGTGCCGCCCCTACCTCCACGTGTAGGTAGACTGAACTACCATGAGGGCGAGAATCAGGTTCCAATTTGGAAGACGAGTTAACCTTGCGCTATTTTTTCTGATGCGGCCGCGTGTTCCCATGCGATAAGAAGGCAAACTCAACACCCACAACATTTAGATGCCGATTGAACGGCCCATCCATTAAGTGTTGGGACCATACGCCGGGCTTACAGGAGTAACCTCTTATACAGCAACACGACATTGCCGCCATATTATCGTCAAGAACAAAAGTTCAATCAAAGCACGTTTGGAGCAAAAGTTCGGGCGACTGAGCACGTCAAGTACAAAAGTGCGAGGATCGAGATCCGCCCCCACTCAGAGTCAGCAAATGAGCATCAGATGCTTCATCTCAGAATCCTTGTCGAACATTTCAGCAAGACAAGCCAGGGTATCGCAACTCCGATAGATGGCATGAGTCGGGACGAACTAGCTTGGTTAGGACGGCTGGCCGAGTCTGCCAATCGTCGCCCCAAGGTCTCGGCCACATCTTGGCAAGGCTTAAGACATGACCTTCCCGCCTGGGCATTGCTTGGGACACCCTCTTTCCGTGAATGGGCCGAGGGACCGAAGAACATGTCCACGTTTGCACACTGACAGCAAAAGAAGCCATCGTCGAAACCTTGTTCTTTCTGGGGAATCCCTATCACGTCAGCAACCTTCTGATAGGGACCTTCCTAAAAGCTCGTAGTATTCTTTGTGGAGTGGCGTTCCAATCAGCCGGGCTCGCTCAAAGATCCCAGCTCAAGTCCAGACTACATGCAGTGTACCCTGTCGAGCGGCAACCGATAGTCAACCCGTCCTACAACAGCATCAAGGCCTGTAATTGCACCAACGCCGCTTCTTATCACGACATCGAACCCCTTATCATGAGGACAATCAATATCAGATCAGTCGTACAACATGGGTCGCCAATCAGCACCTAGCTGAGGAAACGAGTACAAATTGACCATGATTGCCTTCCCCTGAGTTTGCGGAAAATCCGAGCTGTTGGCACTTCAGATTCACGAACTAAACTTTGTTGTTTTGTTCACATGTCTCTTTGATTCTTGTCTTGCCTTTCCTTCCCTGGTCTGTGCTCTCCTGTTGCGACCATGCCGGTGCCATTGACGGACGCCATCGTGGTGGGGGGACTGAACCCAGTCGAGGGTAAAATTGTTTCGGTCCCTTCCCACAAAGCCATCAACGAGAAAGTCAGCATCGATGAGTCTGGTGTTGGGAAAGAACTAGCTTCCGAAATTCAAGCCATTCCGGCCACTGCGCCGTCGGATGATGGAAACCACGAGAAAGACAACAACAGCGACAATGCTATCATTATCACCGGTGCCGACGCGTCGCGCTACCTACTCCCGCTCCGAGATGACTTCGATCCTTCGTTAACCTTCCGGAGCATGTTTCTGGCAACTTGTCTCTCGGCTTTCCAGGCTGTGATGAGTCAGATTTACACTGTGGGCTTTTTCGTTTCTTCTCAAATCGCAAGTGAAGTGAACTCTGGCTAATAAGGTGCTTTTCCGTTCCTAGTTCAAACCGACCGCCATCACCATTTCCGGAACATTCATCGTACTCATCGGCTATTTTGTGGGCAAGGCATGGGCCAAGATCTTCCCTCGCGGTGACAATCTCGAAGCTCGTTGGAGACAGGATCATCCCGAAGGCGAGCTTCCTGCGTACATCAAGTTTTTCAAGTTCATCAACCCGGGTCCCTGGGGATTGAAAGAGCATGCAATTTGCTCCATCACTGCCACATCTGCGTCCAATGCGGCCGCTAGTATTCAAGTATTCGCGGCACAGGATCTCTTCTACGACTTGCCTCTGAGTCCGACAACTGTTGTCCTGACCGTCATCTCCATCGGCCTCTTTGGCTACGGCATTTGCGGTGTCATGCGCCCCATCGCCGTATGGCATGTTGACGCCGTATATTGGAGTACTCTTCCTACAGTTAAAACGCTCCAGGGTCTTCATTGGCAGGATCTGAAGAACTCGAAGCCTCTCCGTTGGTTTTGGTATAGTTTTGCAGGCATGTTCGTTTACGAGTTCTTCCCGGCATACATCTTTCCGTGGCTGAACTCCGTTTCCATTCCCTGCCTTGCGGCCATGAACGCCACAGGCTCAAAGGCTGCTGTTCTCACGAATCTTTTTGGCGGCTCTATCAATAATGAAGGGTTGGGCCTGTTCTCCTTGTCTTTCGACTGGCAATACGTAAGCGACCTCATCTCATTAACGCAGCCTGGTTGCTTGACTAAGATTTCTCTAGATCACTTCTTTCAACACGTCCCTTCCTCTGACTTTGCAAGTTCACTCTGCGATTGGATTCTTCATTTGTTTCCTTGCAATGATTGGAATCTACTATACGAACGCATGGGATGCCAAATCGCAACCTTTCATGTCAACGCGACTCCGGTCCGAAGACGGCACTGCGTATCCCATTGCCAAGGTCTTCACTGGAGGTGTGCTCGACCAGGATGCCCTTACCAAATACGGAATTCCCAGGCTCACGGGCAGCTTCGCGTACGCAATGTTCATGGCCAACGCCGCAGTAAGTCTTTTGGGTCTTACACTTCTCAATCGTCGTGATGCAGGCTGACATATTAAAAGATTGGTGCCCTGGTTGCCCACTGCTTCTTTTTCTGGGGCGGCGACGTGAAGAGAGCCTACCAAAGCGCAAAGAGTGGTAGATATGACGACCGCCATCACGATCATATGACTAAGCACTACAAGGAGACGCCATGGTGGTGGTATGTCATCGTGCTTGTCGTCAGCTTTGTCCTTGGTCTCGTCGTTGTTACCACGCAGAATGTCACACTTCCAGCCTGGGCATACGTTGTGTCGCTGCTTCTCGGTATCTTCATCGCGCCGCTGGTAAGCACGGAAGCCTCTATTCTCCACTTAGTTCTGAGCTGACTCGCACCCAGAGCACGATTCTTTACTCTCGATTCGGTAATGGAATTGCTACAAACAACTTATCGAAGATGCTGGCAGGTCTCATCCTTCCTGAGCGTCCCATTGGCAACATGTATTTTGCCGCTTGGTCGCACAACGTCATCTCGAATGCTGTAAATCTTTCCAACGATCTGAAGATGGGAGAATACCGTATGTGCTAGCCTTTATGACTTGTTATACTTTACTAACGTGGTTCACCAGTCAAAATCCCTCCTCGTGTTATGTTTCTCACCCAAATCTACGGCACCATCATCGGCGGTTTTATCAACTACGCAGTCATGATTTCCATTGTGAACGGAAACCGAGAGCTCCTTGTGGACAGCGACGGGAACAGTTCCTGGAGCGGTGCAACGATGCAGTCGTACAACACCAACGCCACATCTTGGGCGCTTGCAAAGTACTTGTACAAGACTGGTGGCAAGTACGCTCTTGTGCCGATCGGTTTAGGCATCGGCTTCGGCGTTGTTATCATCCATCGCATTATTGCATACGTAGGTTTCTCGAGAGCCGTTTCAGAATACAGTGCAGTCGCTAACTCATCTTTACCCAGTTCGTCCCCAAGATCCGCGGTTACTCCTTGTACGAGATCAACTTGCCCCAACTCATCCAATATGCGGGCTATATCCCGTATAACGCGTCTCAGACCTGCGTGCTCTTCAGCTCGCTGATCAGCGGCTTCTTCGTTCAATTCTATCTCCGCAACTACCGCCCCCGTATCTTTAAGGACTACTCGTACCTAGTCACCGGCGCATTCGACGGAGCCAGTCTTACAGTACTCTTCATCTTGTCGTTTGCGGTGTTCGGCGCCGGCGGCCCATCTATTCCCTTCCCTACATGGTGGGGTAATAATGCCGACGGCTATTACGACCACTGCCCGGCAGCCGAGTAGACAGTCTCCATGAGGCTCATTCGCTTTCTGGTTCTTTTCACGAATAACCGGCCTCGAGTCTCATTGTTGAATGATCTTGAGGCAGGGTTCAGGATGCACTGGGCACTCTACCGGGAGCATGGAAGATTCGGCGAGGGCTAGTGGCTATCAAGTTATCCGAAGCGGGCATGCTTCACACACTCATGGGACGACGTTGGACATTCAACGAGTCATCTTTAATAAACCCATAGGTTTTTCACATCCTATAATAATTGTCAATGCAACGTGTTTAGAAATGGGCGAAGCTCGACAGGGGTTGGTGTACTTTGCTCCTTTTATACCAGGGGCCAATCGTCAAGGAACGTCGCAAGTCCCCGGTTGAGGGAGCAAGCTACGACGGTTTCGTGATCTTCTCCGTCGTAAACTCTCATCGAGAGATGTTCTAGCCGCGCACTTCTTTCTAATCTCGAATTTATTGAGATGACATTGTCAACCATGTCTAGTCCACGGTGCCGTCTCAACCTCCTGTTGTACTCATCTTCTCCTTCGCCCCTTTTCCTTGTTGGAGTTTGTTCCTCATTCCCGACAAAAAGCATGAGGGATGGACTACTGTTCTTACAGTCTACTTTCTCTCGAAAGCGGCGTTCTTCAGTAACGATGTAGCCCTCATTCCACCAGATACTGGGGCTACTGGCCAAGATACAGGTGAACATATCTGTTCTTGTGAATAGTGCGTGCAAAGAGAGAAGTCCCCCGTATGAATGTCCATAGAGGGCTTCACGGCCTACAGTCGCCCCGCGGGTCTCGTAGAGTCGCCGAGCGACCAACGGTTTGACTTTGTTATGTAGAAAGCTAAGAAAGACGTCGGCACCTCCTTCGTGGCCGGCTATCCCATCGGCAGGTGGTGTAAGATCTCGACTTCTGCGTGCACTCAGAAGAAATTTTGAGTCTGCAGGCATAGGGTAGCCAATAGCGACGATAATCCCCTGAATGTTTGAAGAGCGCATACATAAGTGACGATGCATCGACTCCAAGGCAGTCAAAAATACAGAGTTTCCATCTGTGAGGTAACTATCTTCTGTCAGAATAATGGGCAAAACGAGAGAATGCGGCTTGACGTACAAGATAGGGACCGGAGCTTCATTCTGCTGACTGGAGCGACTCTGCCAGTCTCGTGGAAAGCCAATCTGGACGATGTATTCTTCTCCAGCGGTACTTCTCAAAGCCCATGACTCTGCGGAGTCAATTCTTACAAGGAGGGATTGAGTGAGCATTCTTCGAAATCTGATGCTCCAGCACCACGAGAAAATGGCGGACTATTCGATGAGAGAAGCAGGACAATGTGGAATAACCGGTCTTATCGGCATTTCTTATACTGATAGTCCCTCGGCTCGGGCGATGTCTTTCCCTAAAATCCGAGTGTCACCTGCTCGGGTTGACGGTGTCTATCGAGAGATAGTTCCCTGGTGGACCCATCTTCTCGTTGACTCACTCGTAGTTGCGCTCGGCGGTATTCGGCCTTTGCACTATCGTCGACTCCTTGTTCTAACTTTATTAATCGTGAGACCCGACGACTGAACACGGACACCGTTGTATGCCAAGAAGTTCGGAGTACTTCTCGGAACTTCTTGGATGACATCGCGCTTACACAACTCCAAAATCCTAGCTGTGATGGTATCCATCGTTTCCGGGCCTGGCTCGACACTTTTCAGATATAAAGCTAGCCTAGCGACGTGTGGTGATGCCATGGAAGTCCCACTCAAGGCAATATCTTTCCCCGCTTCAAGAGACAATGAGTACACATCTACTCCTCGCGCACACAAGTCGATTCCAGATCCAAGATTGCTAAACCCCCAAACAGTGTTGTTGACAGCGCTGGCTGCCACGGTGATTGCTCTTGCAGTTCCAGCTGGTGATACTCGGCTTACGTCAACAGCTGCATTACCCGCTGCGACGACGGACAGAATACCTTGCTCGGATGCCGGGTGAACTAAATAATTGAATGCATAGTTGGTAGGGCCACCTTTCACACCATCATTAGCCTCATAAACTGGCAGATGGGGGCTGCGTCTTGACCTACCTAGGCTCATATTGATGACGGAAACTGCCGCGCGGCCAGGAGTTTCTGTAATATTATTGACTGCCCATGAAAAGCCTTTCATGAAGTCTGACATGACGCCCTGCTCTCCGAGGATTAATGCTGCCGCAGCTTTCCCATTTAAGGTCGCTTGTTCGACGTACCTGATTTGGTGCGATCACCTTCACCGCAATGATCTGCGCCTTTTTTGCAACGCCCCATGTTTTAGAAGCAATTGTTCCAGCAACATGAGTACCATGACCACTGCTGTCTTCGAAAGGGATATCCTGGTATACAGTGTAACCAAGCTCGGCGCGACCTTCAAAATCCGGGTTGTCCACCCAGACTCCTGTATCAACCACGTACGCGAATGTTCCTAGCCCTCCTTTATCATCAAACCTGTACGCGAATCCATTGCGCAGGCTTACATTAGTACTGGCGGGAGCAGGCTGTGATAATGCTCCCAGTCCCCAAGTGGCTTGGGTCTGCGTGACTACATCGAACGGGAATACCGGTGTCTCAGGTTCAACAAGCTCGACCTGAGTTAAAGTTAATAATGGGCGTGGCGATAATCCTGGAAAGCACTCACTGCATCTTGAGCCTTTATTCCAAGAGGATTTCCTCGTCGAATGACCCAGCATAGGCATGAACGCGCCAATATCAAAGGTTCTCTCAACGCCCAAGATGTCTCGCCGCATCAAACTTCGTCTACGATGCACATCCTATACCAATTTCATATGCCCTAAAACGTCCTCTCCAGTGACTCCGGCTTTCAAACTAATAATATATCGGTTCGATAGGGCATTCTGTATAGCATCAAGTGGGTATCCCAAGATGAATGACAATCCTCCTCAGAGCAGGGCGAAAGAGTAGTTCAACCTCATTTTGCGTTGGTTAGATCAGTCCAGTTTGTTTCACGAGAACAAAGACTTGCGGGAGGTTTCCAAACTTGTTATAACCGGGCGAAAATTACACTATCGTTCAATGTCCGTGGTCCGTGATAGGTACATGGCGTTGATGCTTGGCTTTCTCGTATTTACTTCAACTATGACGATTCATGCAGGTCACCAGGGTTCAAATTCCCATACCTTGACCGAATGTCAACTCAGCAGGGTATCTTGCGCGGGGGTTGGATTTATCATTGCTGGCACTAGTAACTGCAGCTGCCTTCTCATGTAACCCAAGTCATTCATGTCGGCATGATTCACTTTGTTGGCATCTAATCATGGAAGTCCTCAAAAGGTCAATGCGGGCGCATTACGAATTATACAAGTAACAAGCATAAGCCATTCACTTCTTGGCCAACGACATTCTTTTCATATTGTAGGATTTGGTAGTAAATTTGTCTTCCTAGGAACCCGAAAACGGTGTCTGTAGAAAGCCTGTTTGCGAACTCTTTTTTATGCTGTATCATAACGTGAGAGAACATCAGATAATTATGCCGGGCAGCGATAGACATCGATTTGATGCATGTGCACGAAGTCAAATGAGATGGAAAAGCTAGGACGCAGCTTTATCCATGATAACGCCAGTCGGATCACGGGTCACCTCATCGCCCCATTGGGCGTCCCAGCCATTTTCAGATAGGTATTTCTTCCAGGCTTCGTCGTCATCATTAAGGTGCCTTGATATGTCTGGAATAATGAAGAGCGCGATTATGGCGCCGAGAACAGCGAAGCCGGAGCCAATAAGAAATGCAACCTGGTTTCCCTTGGAGGGATCGTCGGTGTACTTTTTCAAAATTGCGGTAAAGACCTTTCATCTCGTGTCAGTATCGATCAAACTACAGTCACTGATGGCAAGAGTTGGCTTACCTGTGTGCCAATGGCAGCTCCCGCCTTCGAGAAGGCTGAGATGAGTCCCATCATTTGACCACGGATGGATGTGGGAAAGCACTCGGAGGCTATGAGAACGACTGTGCTGCAGCAAGTGTAAGTAAGAAATCTGACGGTCAAGAGTGACACATTGTATGCTCTTACCTGCCCGGACCAACTTCGCCAAGCGTCAGGAATATACCGTAGAGAACAACGAAAAGAGGGAAAACACCCTGAATGGGATTCATCGCACCCCCCAGGACAAAACCAAGGATTGCTTGCAAAGTAAAGCCCAAAGCCATAGTCTGACGTCTCCCTATTTTGTCGGATAGGTACCCCCCAATGAACGGGCCAGGGATGTAGAAACAGTTGATCACCACGCCCCATCCAAGGGTCTTCACAAGACTTTCCTCAACATTCGCTCTCGATATAATAGTTGAGCTGAAAATGCCAAACGGTATGGAAATCCAGTTGTACAAGAACCAAGTTGAGGCTGCACCAAGAAGCGGTCGCCAATACCGTTTCAAAGCAAGCCAGTATGGCATCCTCTGCTTCCGCATAGCCGACTTCCTGTACGCAGTCGAAACTGCCATTCGCATTCGGAACCAGAAGATGAGGAGGGGAGGCGCCATACCCAGCGCAAACGAAGTTCGCCAAACAATGTGGTATTTTGAGACTTGTTGGCCAACGCACAGAAGCAACAGCAGTGGCACCAACCCTCCCCAAACATACCCTAGACTGGCTGATAAGTCTGCGAGCATCGCAAACATGAAGCCCCTTCTCTTGCGGAACTTGGCGTCTTCGTCGGTTGCTTCGGCGGCACCAGCGCCAGAGACTGGGTACTCTCCCCCTGCACCCACACCAGCAATACCACGAGCAATGATAAGCATCCAAAACATGCCTGTGGTCGTGGTGCCACTGGCTGCGGTTGACAACGTAATTCCCAGCACCAGCAAGATTGTTGTCGCCACAGCACCAGTCTTGCGGCCAAGCTGGTCACTGATGACACCAAAAAGTATCATTCCAACAATCATGCCGATCAGAAAAGCATTAGAGAGCCTCTGGTATATAGTAGTCGTCAGATCATCCGGGTAAAGGATCGCAAGCAGCAGTTCGACATTGCCAATGACGGCGGCGTTGCTGCAGCATTGTCAGTAACTCGACCTGGGACCAGGCAGCGGGGGGAGGAATCCAACATACTAGCCATCTGAGCCGATTGCCAGTCCAGAGAACAAGACCATCAGCCATACAGACAAACTGCTATAATACGTCTTTTGTGGCTCTTCTTCTACTACGTCTACGTCGCCACCTTCCGGGGCTTTGCTCGTAATCTTCTTTTCGTCAATGGCAATTTCATCGCCTCCATGATCAGTGCGGTCCTGGGCATCGCGGGATACGCTGCTAATATCTGGCATTGTGACCATTGTTTGGTATCGTTCGGTTCAAAGACCACGAGATACACTACGAATGTTGGCGAAATCGAGAACACAAGCACATGCGCACCGGATAACGTCGTCGTGTGGGTCAGTCCCATACTTAACCCGAAGGAACGGCATTTCATGTTCGGCGCATCTGCGCCGAAAGGGGAGAATAACGACGTATGCCGCGGCATGCCTCTTATCTTTTCTCCTCCGGATCGGCCTTGCAAGCCGACGGGAAACCGGGTAACGCTATCGACACCCATGTCGTAGATAATGGGATGGACGCTCGTACCTGCTGTTGCTGCTGCAATCCTGGCATGACTCGTGTGGGGAGACTTCCCTAATCCGGGAAAAGATCTTCAACTCCTGCACCCCGGAGAGGGGTAGAACGCGAGGTCGGAGACCCTCCGACGTCTGAATCAGATCTCTCGGCACTGCATCATCCCTTTGTGTGCTCACCTGCGTCCCTTCTGCCCAGCTCCGGAAGACACATGATTTTTCAGTCCTTTCATGTCGAATTGTGCCTGCTCTTCTACAGATTTCTCAACGCATTGCGGTATGATTGCGATGCTAGGATCAAAAAAATGTCCAGAGGGCGTGCCTCTGCATCATGCACGGGTGCCAACGCATGCCAGCCGTCGCCCCAACGTACTACAGCTTATTGCAACTTCTTTGCTTTTATATACATCCATCTCGTGCTATTATTTTCTGTCGTTCCACGCGCGGTCACTTACATCCGCAGCACCATTTCAAAAGGCGCAGCAGTGTGCTATTGATAACCTGCACGCCGACTTGTCCTTCCTCGACCCCGCCGTACCGATTTCTCCAGACGAGTTTCTCGAGCGCAGAGACCGGCTCGCGCGAGCCTTGGTTGCGTCAAATGCAGACGCATTTGTGCTAGAACCTGGCTATACTTTTCAGTAAGTTCTCCTTTGACAGTATCAGAATCCTGAAAGCTCCAAGTCTCTGACACTGGAGCAGGTATTATGGCAATATCTCTCAGGTTGATTGGGAGCCTTGGGAACCTGAAGAGCGACCGTTTCTTATGCTCATTCTTCCTCAAGTGTCTTCATCAGGCGAAGTGAGGGCCAAAACTGCCTTTCTGTCGCCTCACTTCGAAGAAGGCAGGGTACGAATGCTCGGTATACCGACAAGGGAAGATGACTTGGACATTGTCATCTGGGAAGAACATTGGAACCCATACGACACTCTGCTCAAATCACATCTATTCGATGGTCATCAGGGTAAGCTCATGGTCGACGAGGAAATCCGTGATTTCATTGTCAGAGGATTGGATGCTGCCGGGTTCCAAACTATCGGCCTTTCTCCGGAAGTTGAACTTGTAAAACAGCAGAAAAGTCCTGCGGAGGTCGAGTTGCTCCGCGTCGTGAACACCGGGACTGTCGTTGCTGTTCGAGCGATGCGACCTTGTTTGGTGTCGGGACTTACCGAGAATGAAGTCACCGCGATTCTCAACTCTGCTCTCCTCTCCATCGATTTTGGACTATTCTTCAATATTGTTTTATTTGAGGAGCATGGAGCGCTTCCACACGGTGGTTTTGTGACTGGTTCGAAGAAACTTACTCCTGAGAGCATGGTTGTCATCGATGTTGGTGCTCACTATCTGGGCTACAGTTCGGATATCTGTCGGAGCTTCTTCATCGACCCACCAAAGTCACAGACCCTTCCATGGATGGGATCTCTGCTGAAATCATGGATGCAAAATCCAGAGGAACACCAACGCCTCCTTGCTGACTCTGAGTTGCGTGCCGAGAAGTTCAGAGTGTGGGACATTGTGTTGGATGCACAGTCCGCTGCCGCCGCCGCTTTCAAGCCGAATAACACTGCGGCGAGTGTGGATATTGCAGCTCGTCAAGTCATCGAGGATGCCGGCTATGGATATGGGTTCACTCACCGTCTCGGCCACGGTATCGGTATTAAAGGTGCGTTTCCGATGTTGCTAATAATCGAAAGCCGATTGCAGTGGTTAATTGAAACAAAACAGCTCATGAGTCGCCGTACTTGAATAAGTGGAACAAGGACATCTTGCTTCAACCTGGCATGACCTTTACGAACGAACCAGGCATTTACTTGGAAAACAGATTTGGCGTCAGGCACGAAGACATCTACCTAGTCAAAGAATCGGGCGAGGCAGAGTTGCTCACTGGCCGTAGGGCGACCGGGCCATATGATCCATAAAGCACCTTGGTCTCTGGGTCTAGTAACATATGAATCAGCATGGTGGTACCCTGGCTGTTCATTGCGGAAGCTTAGTCTTTCTTCCATATAGATGAATAACAAAGTAACAAGCGCATAGGCCTAATCTAGTCATTCAGAACGTTTTCAGGTACCTAGTAGTTTACACAGGTACCTCGTGAGTAACGCTGCAGCGGGGGATTCTCTACATATCGT